ATCCATCCATCCATCGCTGCTCATTAGCACTTGTAATAACATTTAAATCAGGTGTTGAAACCGAATCCTTGTAAAAACTCCAGCAGGTTGAATAATCATCAAAATTCCAACGATCATTCAGCTGGGGCTTTTTAGATTGCTACATATTGGAATTAAGGCTGACCTCCACCTGGTTGACATTCCACAGTGGGAGCCAATCGGAAAGTTGGAGCCTGGGCTGAGCTCATTGCAGGGTCCTCATGTTTGCACACATAGGTGGAGTTAATGACTGACTGCCCTAAAGAAAGTTATACGTTTTTAGACCAAACCCGACCCACAGCAGGTAGCTAAGTGGTGTTAGAGCTGCTTCACCAACAGGGAATGACAAGAGAAGAAATCCCCTTTCACTGAGGTCAGAAAACAGGCTTTACAACCAACAGTCCAGCCAGTGGGGGTTCCTCGCTCGTAAACTGGAATACATTTCCATATCCAAAGACAATATTGTGATGTCAACCAACATAGTGGACTAGTCAGAGGTGTAGCCAGAACATTTTTATAAGGGTGGTCAGGCAATAACCAATGTACACTGAGGGGTGGCTGATAGTGGATAGGCACCAGAACCTCAGGGTCAATCTACACTGTTCCAACAGGAAAATTAACGAGCACAACATCCATATTTTCTAAATAAAGACAAACTATACTTTCCTACAACCTTTGCTAACAAATAGACATAAATATTTAAACATCTGTGCTTTCTAGATAAAAGGTATAGTGGATAAAATACTTTGAGGTTTGAGTTCTGGGGTGAAGACCTCTTCCTTTGTCATTACTTACCTACTTTTATCAACAATTATCCTGGATAAAATGTATATTTACAAGTACTAATATCTACATAAATTGATTAAGTTTTTATCAAAATAGTTATTTATCTATAATTTCACTGAAGACTCCTAGATGACATCATTTTCTCTTTACCCATATAACACAAAATCTAGTTTTGAAAAGAGCATGAATTCTGTACTTATCTTTAATGTTGCTATATTGATGTGTATAATTAACCAGTGTTTTTGTTGTAAAGTAATTGTTAATATATGATAAATTTAAATGTTTTGAATGGAGTATTACTGCTGCCACCATCTGTATTAGAGGGGGGAAAAAATGGTAGAGTGGCCAATGATTGGCTAAGGGTGGCCATGGCCACCCCTGGCCCCCCATCTAGCTCCGCCCCTTGGACTGGTGTAATAAGTTCAGCACTGATTAGAATGTAGATCATAAACATAAAGGGCTGATAAAATTAAAAATGTAAATATGACAGAACAGCACATCATTTAGTAAACGATTCCAAAGAGCGAATCAGGAATCCCGGCCATGTGCCCCACATTGTTATTAATAGGGATGCATGATATAATCG